GAGAAAAACCTCACATTCACGAACATGCGCAGTAGGTGGCCAGACAGCTGTCAAAATTACAAATATACATGTAATTTTGACATGTACATATCTAATTTTGACAATTTGATATAAAATTTACTCAGATTCTTACGATTGCTTCGTAAGCTATGACTTACGATTTATTTATAAATTTGATTAGAATTGCAGCATTAGTCTCGCGATGCAAGAGGATAGACGGACAGACATATGCTTTTATTATTATCCTACATTTCCTCTGAGAACGTTATTGCTGCAGCATTACAGCACAAATTAATATCGAAAGGAAAGAAGGAAAGACGATTACAAAAAAAAAAAAAAAAAAAAACGAAGACAAACCGGGGAACTTAGGGACGGGCTTGATTTTTCTCGGAAAATGAAATAGCGCAAGAACGGCGCGTTTATCTCCCCTGAATCAGATCAAACAAAGGAGGAACAAACAGACGCACGTGTCGTGTCGCGGGAGGAAGAAGAGCGTAGCTCTCCGTGTCTGCGTAGTCGTTCGCATTCTGCAGATGTAAAGATCGTTATTTCCGATCATTTATCCCGGGCGATCGGCGCACCTTCGCCGATTATTATTCCCGTTTGACACGTGTGTAACCTATCCGCCGAAAAAATGCGAGCCGGCCGTGTGCGAAAGTGTGTCGTCACGCACGGGGAGGTTGAAAACCACTGGCCTCCGTATTTATCGAGTGAGTCGTTCCATTCGCGGCTGTGCGAGCGAGCGCGCGACCGCTTTCTTTTTCACCGAACACACGAGCTACCTCCGGCTCCTCGAGTGTGAACTTTCTGTTAGCCAGTCGCGGCACGTTCGGATACGTGTATTGGAAATCTCACGGTGGTGGCATCGTCATCGTCGGCCGAATTGTCCGACTTTCGCGGTCCCGCGCGAGAACGGAAGTCGCAAGGCGACATGCGCGTGAATGCCGCGCGGAAGGTGAAAGGGTCGCCGAAGAGGTTCCCTCCCTGAGTGAACAGGCATGTGAGCGAAGGTGATAATGCGTTCATCAGCCAATACAAGCCAAAGATAAGATTTATCGTTCAAGATTAATCATTCAACTCGCAAGCGGATCCTCGCTCGCGGCTCCGAGCGACCTACTTGGCTTGAATGATCAAACCCGTCTGAAAAAGGGACTAGAAGAGGGGCTTCCGAATTAAAATTGGAAAAACAGAAGCGACGAACGTTTGGCGCGACAAAATTGCTTTCGGATTCTCATTTATAGATCGGGACCGTAAATAGATAGTTGAATATCGCGGTATTCCGTGCTACGTTACCGATATTCGTCGGTGTTTGAGTTATTCAAAAGCACCGGAATGGAATAAGTAACGAGTTCAGTTTGACGGCAACACGACGACGCACGTGATGCTCCTGTGTACTCGTTCATATTCACGGTAGACAAAGTCGTGATACCGAATCCCAAAATAGCGTCCTGAAATACGCCTTTCCTGAACGTTGAAAAATATATATATGTTGCGCAGAAATATTATTATCCCGGAATCGATATGAGTGTGTGCCGAAATATCCTGCTCTATTTTACTGAAATATATTCGGGGGAAAAAAATTCTGAAAAAGACCAGATTCCAGAAATCATAAATTGGCGTTTACATTTTTCCGCGTGGAAAAAATTATCTTTCACAGCTAAAAACAGGTAAAAATTGTCTTCCCATATGAAACAATTGAAATTTAATAAATTTAGCTAATTTTTTGTTCTTGTATCTACACTGAGAAGAAAAGATTTGAACGTTTATGGTGTGAAGTATAAGGTTTGCTTAAGAACGGTTAAGATGTGAAGTATAAGGTTTGCTTCACAGAAATAAACGTTTACTTAAATACAGCGATATAAAATGTTATTCCTAGCAAATAAACAAATTAATAGAAGAAAGCTTAGATATATTTCACAAAAATATATATTCCGAAAGTTGGATTTCGAAACATTTGTCCCAGGACTCGGTTGTGGGAATTACAACTTTTCGCAGCATTACTCCGCTTCTCAAATCCGGGCACATTTTTTGCCCGAAATTTCGCGTGTCTACTACGTTTCTTCTTGTGACGCAACTATTACATTACGCTTCACATTCTTACTACTAGATAACTATTATCTAACTTCCTACTATCTCTATCTCGCTCCTTTTTTCCCCCGATTGTCGCTACCGAGAATCAGACGTCACATTCCAATTACATTCCGCGCAACGTGATTCCATGATTACGACGACGCAGTTATCACGGTTATACTCTTGCATCATTTAAATTACCAGGTATCGTTAACACGATATGGAATATATCGCAAATAGTGAAAATCCGATACACGGCGTGACTCGCGAAATGCCGAGGCGCGCGAGAGAGCGGAGTCAGCCAATCGGCCGCTCCGCGGGCCGTTTACCGGGAGAGGAAATAATCAGTCGGATACACAATGTACGTACGTTGCATGTAACCTTGCACTTGTAACAACGCTGCGCATCTCGCGCGCGCGGCCGCCTGCCTCTCGCTCGGCTCTCTTCCGCACCGCGCGAAGTCGTATCGCTCGCGGGACGACCGTATCTATCTACGATATATTTTATCGCTCTATCACCGCTAATATCGCACACGCCATTAAATCAAATCGGTCCCTTTTTCCCCCGGTTAGTACGTGTTTAAGAGGTGATACGGCAAGGTTGACACCGTTCACCGTCCGCGTTCGATTTTCGATCGCGTTTCCCCTAACGTGTGCGAAGAGAACAAACGGCCCAATTGCGCAGCGTCCGAAACAAAGTACATCCGTCCATTTAAATTTTCTTATCTGCCAGGAAAGATAATGTCAGTTGGTTAGTTTTGAAAGTCACTACCTCCGTGCCGGTGGCGATAAACAATATCTTCTCTCGACGTTCGCGCGCGCGTCGTTTTTTAACCGCAGTGAGGCACGACGCGCGCGATGTAGGTGACGTGCGTCAACATTTGACTCTTTTTCTTCTTCTTTCTTCTCGATATTCCTCGTCACATTTTCCGTCCGACCGGGTGAAATTCACGACTTCAAGCGGATCTCTCCTGAAATCGTTTCCCCGTTTCGCAGCTTTATGCCCGGCGAACCGTCCCACGAGAGGGAAATTAAAAACACGCACGCGCGAGAAATTTGTTCGGGAAAATTTGTGCAGAAATTCAATTTTCACGACGACGGGTCAACCAACACGCCCGGCTGGCTGTTGCTTCTTATTCTCGGAGACGCGATCATTCGACAGAAGAGAGAAGCGGAAACTTCCCGCGATGTAGTATGTAGATTAGGACGGTTCAAGGGGAGATTTTTACAAATGAAAGAGCGCTCCCTACGCACACACGCTCGCCGAGCCGTTTTTTTTTTTTTTCGAGTGCGGGTGTATTTCGACATGGCTGACACACTTTAGCTTCGTGTATCGATAGCATCTCGCGTGTACGAGAATAAGAGCGAACCGGAGAATAAGAACCGAGCCGGGGCGACTCGGTGTCGCGATGAGCTCCGAGAGCGACGCACACCGGCGTGCGATCTCTCTCCCGCGTGTGTACCTCGACGGAAGGAAATTTCAGAGATAAGTAGGCTGGCTCGGTCGAGCCGCGTGTCGCTCTGAAAGCCGGAATAATATTTCCCGGACGCGCGTCTCGGTGTGCATTTCAGCGAGGCGACAGCCGAAGAAAAGTGCAATCTCAGTCACGACTCCGTACCGGTGCTGTCAATTCCGCGTAATCTTCCGAGCAATCTTTCGGTAACTGAGTACACCGCGACAGTTTCAGACGTTATTGTTATCTCGGTTATCGTCGGCAAGATCGATCGTTCGGGACGTCTCGAATTAGCCGTGAACTCGTTACCGAAAACTCGGGTACTGTCAATCGCAGGACGGTCGCGATTGACTTTTTTCTTCCCGCGAGCTTCGTAACGCATCTCGCGTTACAACGAGAGCATCCGTTTTTCCAGTGACTCTGTACTTTCCTACCGGACGCGAGACTCATCGGGAGGAAAAAAAAAAGTGTCGCAGCCGTTCCGACTCGAAATTGACAGCGCCACTCCACCGGGGAGGACCCACTAGCGTTCGAAGGAAAGGAAACGGATCGCGACACGCCTCGTCGCGGTGATTGCCGCGGCTCGATCGAAATCGCGATCGACCGGCGCTGGGGGGTGGGCTTCGCGGAAAAAAGTCGTGTGTACATCCGCGCGAGATAAAAGAGCGCGATTCGACCGGTCTGCTATCGCGCGCGCTGATATACCTCCTCTCTCGCGGGGTTCGCGTATTTTTTCGGCGAAATTCGCTCTCGTCGCGCTGAGACGATGCGCGCGTCTCGGGGTCATGCCTAACGGCATCCCGCGCGCGTCCGTCTCCGCTCTCGTCGCGCACTTTGCCGCGACTTACAAAAGTAGCCGTGCCAGCCGAGCGCCAGTCGGCGAGTCGCATTCGTATTCGCGGTTCGCAACGCGCAACCGCGAACTCGGGGGGCAGCGCGTGTGCGGCGGACGTGCCTACCTTTTCGAGACGAAAACGACGTTGCGGTAGTGGAGGCGAGGAGGTTGCGCCTCGTCGTTGACAGGACTCGACGAGGGGGGCGGTCGACTTCCGCGTTGCCGGCGAGCGCCGCACTCCCGGACAAGTTTCACGGCAGGAAGATCCCCCGTGAGAACCCGCCTTCTTCGTCTCCGTTGTCGTCGTCGTCCTCGTGCACGCGGTTGCACGAGGTACGAGAACGCTGGGGGAAGTCGGCGGCGTTTGACGCGCGCTGATAGAACGCGTGCCACGCTGGAATTTCGAGACACGGGACGAGAAAGAGGGACGGAGAAGCCTTACGCGGCGTAGATAGAGCGTCGACGTGTCGCGTCGTTGGCGCGTCCTTGGCCGCGGAGCGTCGTACCGTCGTATCGTGACGCCTTCCACCAGCTTCCGCGGCAGACTGACCGGTTTCGCCGGGCCGCGTGATGATTGGACGCCTGCGCGGCGGACCGACCCGGTGCGCCAGACCGCCGCCCGGTGGAGCCACCTACTTGTTTTCCTTGCCGAGCGCGGGAGGAGGAGGGAAGCGAGAGAGCGAGAGAGAAAGCGATTGCGCGTGTGTGTGTGTATATACGTCCTGTGCGCGCTGTCAAAATACAGTGCAGTGTGGCACCTCGGGCTTTCTCGTGTACGCGATTCTCTGCTCCCGCGAGTCACCGAACGCCGACGGTGCTTCGTCCCACTCTCTCTATCTCTCTCTCTCCGGTCGGTAGACGCGAGCTCCTCCGCGAGGATCGAGAGTGCACGATAACGCGACATCACAGTGCGGTGATTCAGCTCATCGTCCGAGGGTTCGAGGGAAGAGAGAGACTCACGCTCCTTCTCGGTATTGCGATGGCGAACGCGCGGTGACGTTTCCGAATCGCAGTAACCGCAGCGGGGAGGCTCGTTCCCGCGGAATCCCAGCCGGGCGCTTTGCGCGCTGTTTGTTTTCCCGGCTTCGCGCCGATTAGTACCTTAGAAGCCTGATCGAGATGGAGCCGATGGGGCAAAACCAGCCACCGAACGTCATGAATAACGACGGCTCTGACACGAAGGGCAGGTGAGTCTCTCTCTCTTTCTCTCTCTCTCCTCGTCGAGACAGCTTCTTTCTTCTTCGGCGTGAGGGAATAATACTCGTTAAATCGGTCGATAACCCTCCGACGCAGAGAGAGCTTATCGGAATCAGCAAAAATTACGCGCGGAGGTTTACATGTCGACGATCAATTTGCATCTCGTCGTTGTTACAGCTGCCTGTTACTTCGCTATGCTAGTCAAAATTCCCTCGACGAGAGCTCGCAGAAGCATGTGCCCCGCGAGAATGGGAAGGACAAACCACCCTACAGGAATCATCACCACACAAACCGAGCCTTTGACGTCATTAATGAAATGAGAAAGTGAGTGTCTGCGTGTGTTTATGTGTGTTTATCCGCGCAAATATGTTAGGATTATACTATATTCTTGCGAGCATGTTTGTAAGAATAAGCTTCACTATGTATCGTGTATCTGCAAATAGTACAGATAAATGGATATATTTATTCTGCATTTTGGGGAAACTTTCTCTGAAACGCATAATGGTACGAGACTGAAATAAGCAAGGCACGAGTAATGTGTAATACTTTACATTGTGGCGAGAATATAATGGAGTAAAGAAGAAGACACGAGCTAAAACTAAGATATAATATTAATGTAACTACAGACTACTGTCACTATTTAATATATACTCAAATAGCTATCAAGGTATATCCCACACAGCACAAATATTCAAAAGATATTCCAGAGAAATCAAACATCTCTGGGACGTCTCTGGGATGTCTCTTGAATTGTTTCACATTTATGCTGTATGAGATCCACACATCAAATACATGTTACGATAAATATAATTTGTTAGGCCGGGGAAGATTTATTCCGTCAATAAAGAATATGGGAATTACGTGAGAGTGTGAGTAACGCTGTTTCTTTTCAGGAAAAATTTACTGTGCGACGTTATCCTGGTGACAGACAGTGGCCTGGAAGTGCCAGCTCACAAAATGGTCTTGGCCGCGTGCAGTCCCTATTTCTACGCCATGTTCACGAGTTTCGAGGAACGCGACCAGGAGAGGATAACGCTGCAAGGTGTGGATTATTCCGCACTGGAATTACTAGTGGATTACGTCTACACGGCCGAGGTCCACGTCACGGAGGACAATGTACAAGTGCTCCTCCCCGCCGCGAATTTGTTGCAACTGACGGACGTCCGCGACGCTTGCTGCGATTTTCTACAGGCCCAGTTGCATCCGTCCAATTGTCTCGGCATTAGAGCGTTCGCGGATCTGCACGGATGTCTCGAGCTGTTGGCGCACGCGGACAGCTACATCGAGCAGCATTTTTCGTAAGTCGCGTACCAGCCGTCGGTCCCGATCGGATTAGCGATTTTACAGTCGTTCGTATAATGTGGATTATAGAGAAGTTGTCGACGCTGAGGAATTTTTAACACTGGCGCCTCAGCAAGTGGCTAAGCTCATTTGCAGCGATCGCCTAATGGTACCTACCGAAGAGAAAGTGTTCGAGTGCGTTATCTCGTGGGTACATCATGATCTCGAGAAAAGGCAAAACGACCTGGCTCTGTTAATGGAGCACGTGCGTTTACCTTTGCTCTCTCAAGAATACCTAGTCCAACGCGTGGAGGAGGAACCACTTCTCAAAGCGAATTTACAATGTGAGTTTGCTACTAATAATATTATTACATAAAGCGGAGCGTGCCTGAGCACGTATTTAATCCTAGACATACTTGTTATCTCGGTCTTTGAATAAAAATATTCAAATTTTCAATATAAAATATATGTACATGTATTCAATACGTACTAATATTTTATGTTTAAAGATTGAGCATTCGTATTTAATAACCAAAACAACAAGAATGTCCACAGTTAGGTATATATCCAGGCATTCGTACTTTTATCTTATATATAGAAGGGAAACGATTTTATAAATAAATAAATTATATATATATATATGCGTGTATGAATACGTCCCGTGCCAAAGAATTTCGTGTTCAGTTCACGTGGCTATTAATGGACCACATAGCAAAGCATACTATAAAAGTTTTAACTACGTTACGTATGGATGTACGCTAGATGATGTTTTAAGAAAGCAAATAATATATTTTATGTTTATAACGTTTTTACTAATGATAATCGCTCATGGCTAGAATGGAAATTGTATCATGTATCATATATGGCGCACGTGACACATATCATGTTAAAGGCTTACAGATATAATCATATGAGCCAGTGAGAACCTGATACGTACATGTACAAGTGTAAATAAGAGAGAGTGATATCTCTAGAACATAAACACTCGAAAAACAAACGTCTCGATTCCGTTTGGGCTTTCTTCAGTGCGGAACGAAGTAAAATTATCGAACTGAGACGCGCAGAATAGATACAGTCACGAGATATCGATAACGATAAATTAATGTAAAATAAATGATGTCTCATTAAATGCTGCAGACGTGGAAAATAATCGAGATACCATTCTTTCTTATTTGCTTAAGCTCGCACATCTGTGCATCGGGTTTTCATTGGCTCATTAATTATATATCATTTTCCTTTTGTGCAGGTAAGGATTTTTTGATCGAGGCCCTAAAATATCATTTATTGAAGGGCGAGCAGAAATCTCTATTTAAAACCCCACGTACGAAGCCGAGACAACCGAGGGGATTGCCGAAAGTGTTGCTCGTCGTCGGCGGTCAAGCCCCGAAGGCGATTAGAAGTGTCGAATGTTACGACTTCAAAGAGGAGAAATGGTATCAAGTTTCCGAGCTGCCAACGCGACGTTGCAGAGCTGGTAAAAGTGATTCATCTTGCGTTACTCGAACGATTGTTTCCTCTGCTTTTATGCAAAATGTCACGTACGCGTTTGCCGTAGGACTTTGCGTCCTAGGCGGACGCGTGTACGCCGTTGGTGGATTTAACGGATCGCTCAGAGTACGAACGGTCGATATCTACGACGCGGCGGCGGACCAATGGTCACCCTGTCCCGAAATGGAAGCAAGGAGGTCAACTCTCGGTGTGGCGGTGCTTGGCAATTTGGTTTATGCTGTATGTCCCTTTTACTATTTTCTTCCTTGTCTTCCCTCGTATTCTTAGCTTATTGCAAGTCATATTTCAAGTTGCAACTCAGAAGAGCCGATCTCAGAGGCACAACGTTTATACAAGAGCGCACAGATTACATTTTTTTTTTCTTGAATTGCGATTTTGTATTAACACAGACGTGAAAACAATTTAGCTGTCAAAAATATGAGAAAAATGAATTTCATTCTTGAAAAAGTAAGAAAATAGTGAATCACTAATGAAATTCACTTTATGAACATTATGTCCTTGCAGCCATTATTACGATCTATTTTCTTGGAATCTTCCGTTTTGTCTCTAAAGGAATAAGTTGTTGAATATGAATTCGTGTGATCGAGTTTTCTTTTTAAATGACTCGAATCGAATAAGAAAAAGGTAAAAAAGAAAAGAGTTCTTTTTCCTACAAAAATGAGAAAAAGTGAGATGTTTCTAAATAAGTAAGGAAAAATGAATCTGTGCCCGTATCGAAAAACTGTTTTCATGTTTCGTATTCATATTTAAAATTTAATTAAATATAATAAACTTGGATGAAATATATCGTCGTTTTTGTTTCACGTGAACGTAGGTCGGCGGCTTCGACGGCTCTACGGGATTAAATTCAGCCGAAGTGTACGATCCGCGGACTCGCGAATGGAGACCGATAGCTCGAATGTCAACGCGACGCAGCAGTGTGGGAGTCGGAGTTGTCAAGGGATTGCTCTACGCCGTGAGTGTATTGTTCTATTTTTAGTTATAAAACAATCTTCGCCCCATTGTGCGTTTAATACAGAGAGAGAGACGTCGCGATTAGGTCGGCGGTTACGATGGAGAATCCCGTCAGTGTCTCTCCAGTGTCGAGTGTTACAATCCAGAGAAGGATAAATGGAAACCCGTGCCTGAGATGTCCGCGCGTCGTAGCGGTGCCGGCGTCGGCGTGCTGGATGGAATTCTATACGCGGTGGGAGGCCACGACGGGCCGCTGGTTCGCAAAAGCGTGGAAGCGTTTAATCCGGACACGAATCAATGGAGTCCCGTCAGCGACATGGCGCTTTGCCGTCGGAACGCCGGTAAATCGTCCAATACTTCTTAGCATGTCAATTCCTTTTCAGAACAGTAGAATGCTTGAACTTGGAGTGAGAGTTGGGAAAGAAATCACGCAAGACTGCAAGGCACGCAAAGTTACAAATGTTACTTATCGGATCGCTCCTTGTTACCGAATTTGTTTCTCCGATCTCTATTCTGTTGCTGCGGAAATTGAGCTCTTTCTTGCCGTGTAGTCGTATCAATCCCTCGAATGTCGCCGTATGCTAATTACTAATTATCATAAATATTCTTCGGGACCGAATGTTACAACCGACAGGCGTGGTGGCGTTGAACGGACTTTTGTACGTGGTGGGCGGCGACGACGGTTCGTCCAGTTTGGCGTCGGTGGAGGTGTACTCGCCCAGGACCGACACCTGGACGACCCTGCCGACCTGCATGGGAGTCGGGCGCAGTTACGCGGGTGTGGCGATCATCGACAAGCCGATGGCCCCCGCTACGACGATGTGAGGTCTACAGTCCGCTGGGCATGCGACGGAACAGAACACGGACCCGAGTGCCGAGACATCGGACTCCTCGCGGGAAGCCGGGCCCAGCGGCGTGCAACAAGTACAGCATCGCGGCGCGAGTCACAACTGTCAGGGGCCGCGTTGCGTGTGTCAGATATACGAGAACGGCGAGCTGGCCGCGGTGATGATGAACCAAGGCCGGAATAACCAGGAGAACGGCGCCTATCAGAACGTGGCTCACGCCGCGGCGCGTCGCTTTCAAAACCGTCCCTGCAATAACACGGTACAGATTCATCAGAATTCGAATCCATTTTATCAAAATACGATCGACTTGATACGTAATCGGGGTCGACCGCAGCCGCAGCAGCCGCCGCAGCAGCCGCCGCAGCAACAGCAGGAACCGGAGGAGAACATTTACGAGCGGCTGGACAACGATGACGACGAAGACGACGGCGCGAACGCGCGCGACGCTCCGCGAAACGAGTCCCTGGCGCCGAACAATCCGGATCACATGTACGAGAGAATCGGCGAGCGGATATCCTGCAGCGGCAGAGCGCATTGTCCCGGTTACAGATATCACCGATTAAATCACGTGTCCGCTCATAGCTTCCTCAACGACGTGGACGGCGCCAGGAACGCGAGCCAATACGATCAACTGAGGCACATTTATCTGGATTATTCTCGACTGAGCGGTAACCTATGCCAAAGCTCCCTGAGCAGATTAGGCCGTAACTGCTTCTCGACGGAGAACATCGCGTACGCCTCCACCAGACGCTCCGTTCATCCCTTCGTTTACAACAATTGCACATGCTCGTATTGCAGGCACGTGGACGCGAGATACCTCTGCCAGCACTGCCACAATTTGCACAACAGGCTACGATATCAGGAGGCCGCCGCGACCTCTAGGCATTACGTGTACCAACTGTCGAGAAACTGCCGATGTCCCTTCTGCCGCGGCGAATATCCCTACACGAAGTTCCCTATCAACGGCCCTCGCGCCGCCGAGCTCTTTAGAATGGAATGCTGCCACTGCAGGAACCCGGCCAGCTGCAGTTGCCGCGGTAAAATCCCGTCCGACGCGAGTTCGGCGATTTACATCGGCAGATACCTGGATTGGATCAGTCGGACTGGCCAGTCCGTCAACAATCCTCTCTACGCCACGATTCACGTCGGTAGGATAGACCGTGCTTCCGGGAGTAACGCGTCCAACAGCGGGAGCAATCAGCCGGCCGATCCCGGGCCCTCGACGTCTAATAACGCGACCTCTCGATTCAACGAGCCGAATTCGTCGATCCTGCGATCGGTATTCGCCCCGGCCGCCGCCGCCTCCACGTCGAACGCTTTCATCTGCCCCGTCAACCGATACGTGGAGCGCCAACACACCTGCGACGACTCTTGCATTCGCGGTCAAAGCAGCGGCTTAGCCGGGATATGCCAGCTGCTCGGCAGATGCGAGAGAACGGAATGCAATCATGGGAGATTGTCAGTGCACTGGTGGTTCGTCAACAAGTGGCTCCCCATGTGGAACTCGCATCATCTCGAGCGAAACGTGGACGGCGCGCCGTACGTGGACGAAGCGTCGCGGGAACAGCGGGAAAGCGACAGCGACGATTCTTAAGTCACGGGGAAAGTTGTAGTCCGAGTACCTGCCGCGCCTCACAAGCCGTATATCTTCCTGCGTTCGCTCCAGCCGTTTCGCGACGCGATTCTGATTTTTTCCGCTCGATTCAGCACTCGCAACGAAACGAATGCCGCTCTCTTGGTAGATATTTTAACGATGTAACGATAACTTCGCGCCGTACACGCCGTGACAATAAATTTAGATATACGGCGTTCCCGGAATATCCCCGGGATTTTGCACAAATGCGTCTTCTTTCGGTCACGTAGATACGCGATTACTTAGCTGGCGACTTGCGCGGGCTTATTTTAACGCAAGTAAGGCATATCTCTTTCGAATTATGTAGATCTGTGCGCTCCACAGCGTTGCTCCGATAAACACTTGAATTCGTAGAGTTGTAACATACAATAACGCGTGCGAATTTGTGAGACATTTATTCTAGGTGTGTCGCGTTCGAGGCCTATTCAGACGAACTTGCGTGGTGGAAGTATTAGTAAATGTCTCGGAATGGTAAAGGGTTCTTTTAACTTTGACCCGTCGGTAGTTGGACTAATTTAGCATTTCAGCTGTGATATGTGTTAGATCGAGCATACGGTCGATCTAATTCACGGGCTAATCCTGCGGGCTAGGTACCGCGTCGCGATGTTAAAACCGTCGTCCGCGTCGTATATCCTTTCTAAGTTCTCTGCGTCGGAAGAGAGCGCGTTCCGCGTCTCCGAAGAAATCAGGTGAAAAGAGAGAAAGAGAGAGAGAGAAATACCTAGCAGAGTGTACAAAGTACATGCTCGAACAAATCTTATCAATATATCTTATAGGCATCGCGTATCGAGCGAAACAGCCGCTCATCTCGTATGTCTTATCATTGTTGTAATATTTTATCTCGCGATATTTTCGGTGTACTCCCTTGTCGATGTAGTCAGTATTAAGTTATCTCTACACATTACTTGGAACTATTAAGCCGTGAGTGTTCGCGTTATCGTCGATACTTAGCGGTATCGTCCATCGCTCATTTACAAATAAGAATAATAACCAACGCGTGTCCGACGCGTTATCATGGTCATTTGCGAATCGATCGGTCTCTTATATGATTTCAAGCAACACACGGATTTAGTGACGCCGACACTCACGTGTCAAGTTTTACGGATATGTAATTGTATGTATATGTATAAATACATGTATTTGCGCATGCACATGATTGTATAGCGCTTCCAAACGAGATATCCTCCATGAGGATAAGTACAGCGGACGATTGTACACATGCTTTACCATAGTTCTGAGTTCCACGGAAAAGGTTAAATAATGTTTGATACATATATGTGCAATATAGTATCTTTTCGACCTGGACTGTAATGTTCGTACCGTATATTTAGCGTGTCATAATCGTGTCGGCATAAGAAAAAAAGGTATACCGTTTGTAATATATGTTACTGTGCAAGCGAGAGTGCTACATATAAATATTTTATCACAAATTGTTTTCTTGCGCGTAACTGATCAAGAATATCGGTTCTTTTTCTTCGTATTAAGAAATATACTCAAAAATCCTATCTCTTCTTTATGTACAAATAATTACACAAATAATTACACACCTATATCCTGTGATTAAGGTATATTTTGTTGCACGAATACGAAACACAGTTAGTTTAATTTGTTTAATTAAATCATGATTGCATATATCAGATTTCACCGGGTAAAAGCGTGAGATAATTAGTCGTACCTGTGTGCGTTTGTTGCTACGAATTGGTGTCGAGACGTTCCTCCCGCGTACTATTCTCAAAGTCTCTTAACAACTTTTCGACTTGTTTCGCGTAATTGGCGGAGATCTTGTGATCGATATCGTAGACCTAGAAAATGAAATGCGTAATGTCACAGATATCACAGAAAGAAAAATACATTTCAGATTTGAAAGAGAAAAAGCACACATATACACGCAAACACACAAATACCTTTTTGGTAAAATGGATTTTGAGCCTTTTATCTTGGAACATCATCCTTTCGCTGATTATTAAGTTATTGAAGATTTTCACACGCAGTGGTCTTAATTTCTTTTGGAACTTTTGTGTGTTTCCCGCGCACTTTTCCTCTAGCTTTTGTATTTTGAAGTGTATCTTTCTTCCGTTCCTGCCCAAAAAATCTACTCTCTTATTGAGCTTTCTTATGTCGTTGTACGCGTGCTGGTAATTCTTTCGTATATTTTCTCGTAATTCTGCGGAAAGCTATAAATATTACGACAAACGATTAATACGTATTTTATATTTATGTCATTGTAGTTCTTATTGAAAAATTGAATATGAAAAATTAAATCAATCACCTGTTCCATTTTAGTCGTGACTACAGTTTTACATTCGTACGACATGTTCGGATATTTGTTGAGCATTTCGTCGACTCGTGCTTGACTAGCCGTAATCCACGTCTCGATCTTAGCATCTACCTTGTCGTCATCATAGTCGATCAAGAAGGTATCCTCATTTGTAACGTTATCCTGCACTCTCGCCAATACTTCGGAGCTCCAATGTAAAATATAATCTCTCTCGTTCATGAGACTTTTCCATGTTTCGGGCGTTCTACTCGTAATTTGCCCCATCTTCGTTAAGCTGTAATTAGAAGATAAAAATTTTAGTAAAGTCAACATGAGATTGTCAATTTAAAGATGTTTCATGTTTAATATTTCTTTTGTCTAATTTTGTGGCGTCTAAATACACGTCTAAATCTTTTGGTTCTTTTCTTCTAGATCATTCAGTATATTTTCTATAGTTCACTTCAAGGCAAGTTGAAACTTATAATTTTCGTCGTACTGCCCTTTACCTGAACTTTTGAAGATTTAAACAAGTCTTAATAGATTCATAAAATTTTTTGTAAGTTTTTGTGGCCGAAATAATATGTCTGGTTTGTACAACGAAAAATTTACGAACGTTATATTATTTAACTGAAAATTTCGACTGCAAAATATATTTGCGACCTTGATTTAGTCGGAATAACTACATGATCTTCTTCTCGTTATAAATATTACCCTTTTGCTCGTCCCGTTCCAATTGAAAAACTGTAAATAAAACTACTTGTTTATTATGAGAATATTTAAATAAAATCGGCGATTACTCAACGAGATTAAATATCACGGTAAAGTGAAATAGAAGCAATTATAATTCTACATTGTTACGCCTGGGTGAAGCTCATCTAATGCCGCACAAATTTTGTTCAATGCTTATTTAGGTTATCGAAACTTGAACCGCAATACGAATTTAGTGAGTTATTTATAAATAAATGTATAATACACAGCCATTAACAAAGCCTATATGTTCATTGTTTATTCACAAACAATTTCGCTAAATCCGTAATATGACTCGTATCAATTATATAGATTATAAATAAATAAATACATAAATATGCGCAGTACATTATATACAGGGTGTCTGAAACCTTTTTTTGGGATCCATGGTGTGCAGGTGAACCAGCTGAAGCTAAACAGAAAAATCATGCATCATCAGCTCATACAGATCAATCTTTCATTAACTATTGCGTATTTTGCAAAATGATACACGACTTTCCTGTTCAGTTTCACCCGTTCTACCTGCACACCCCAAGAAAGGTTTCGGATACTCTGTACAAGCGTCAAACCTGGAAGCGTTTGTTGCGTCGCATGGTAACGGATGCTTGCCCTACTTTATTCGAATATCACCGTGCTTCCGACGAGACGCAGCGGACATCGGTTACGAGCACCGAGAAACACCTCGTTCAGATCAGTCCGGGCCGATTGACCGCTGAAACGCTCGTTCGTCACACTTGATCCTCGTTCGGAATTCGCTCTCGACATGTGAAAAGACGCGACGAATGCGCGGAGCAATTGCGATTCCGATTTCGATCCGACACGAACGAACGTGTTACGATCACGTGACGTCGTACGATCGTACAACGTTAGTTTATTCAACAACTGTCGAAGTGGCTTCGACATAATAATCGCTGTTGCTTCTGCTAACGTTAATTGTTTGCCTCAATTTTTCGAATATTAAATCCATTTCGGGGATTTCGCAGGTTCTGAATGACGAGGTTCTGAAAAAATTATGAATCATGCGCGACCGAACGTTGACGAACGTACTGATTGGTACATCGGGAATCGACCGCCATCTTGCGATCAGTTCAGAAACAGTTCGCAGCGCGGAAGTACGGTTGAAAAGCCGGTCCGCACCTCTCGCGGTTTCGACTCGCTCAAAGTGAGTCTCACGCCGAAATTATCGTTGCTGGGAGTGCCGAAAACGAGTGCCGTGCGTTTGTCGTATCGACAAGACGCGGATAGTCGCCGAACGCGAGCATCTCAAAGCCGGGTGTGCCGCCGGGCCAGGGGTCGATCGTTCGTCGCACGATGGCCGCTTGAAGTTCGTCCGGTAAACACCAACCGACAGTAACACAACATCAATGGTATAATTTCCCATTCGATAACACAACTGTTGCATACGCGCGCACGCGTTATATCGCATTTACATTGTTGGGTGGGAAATTGTACATGTGATGTTATGTTACTGTTAGTTGGTGTTCACTTGGTCGACTCACCGCCCTATGTGATTTTGATCTGCCGAGGATGAGTCTGGCGCGCAAATTAACGCGTCGGCAATCACGAGTAAGGGGAAAGTAAATTTCACAGCGAAACATCGTTCGAGTATCGGCGTAAGTGTATAAATTGCGGTACTTGGCGCCAAAGATGTTTATCGATGTTCGAAATTATCGGATATTCAATATTATTTCAATTTCTATGTGAACATATTGAATAGGAAAAATATGAATAACAAGTCGGATAAATATTTTTTAACTGACCGATATTTCATTGAATATTTATTGAAAAGCGTATGTTTTAAAATAAGAGCATGCTGCATTTCGATATTGTCAATATCGAACATCTATAATACATGTATAATAATATGAATTGTAGCAGATTTTCATTACTGGCAGTGAATCGGAACGTAGTCGTAATTTATGAATTTCGCCGAAAAGACACGCGAAAAAACGTAAGCGTTAACCCATTTCGGTCTGCTAAAATAATTGACATTCACGAGTATTGTTTTAGGGTAAGTGGGACTCAAAAAATCTAAGATCAAAATTTTTCGATAAGTCGTTTTCTCTCAAAAATAGTCGAAACATCGATTTATTATTTGTTATTGTTTTTAATTAATTAATTAAAAAGGTGATTTCTTCTCGATATCGACATCTCTACTTGACGCCGGTAGTACCGAGTGAAACTGGCGCTTCGATACTTCGAGAATCGCAATCGTCGCGATACACGCAAGCAAATTACAGGAGCAGATTCGAAGAATCGTCCCTCTCGCGATTTCGATCCGACGGGAGCAAGTCTCGGGTGCGAATTACGTCGAGATTGCCGAATGTAAGTTTCGCGCGCTCGTCGCGTCGGCTTGTCGTTAAAGTCGCCGAGAGCGAAACGACGGGAGTGCGCTGATCGCGTCATGGCGGCTCGAAGTTCAAACGGTTACCGTTCTCGTCCCGCCGAAACACAGCCCTGCGCGACGGGAGTGTCGTGAGAAAGTTTCGCGCGTCTGTCTGAATTACCGGTGAGCGACCGTCGAAGGTAAACATCTCGGCGAAACGGAAGTGCCGTGCCAAGTGTCGCGCGTTGTCGGCGATTCCAGCCCTGGTCTCTCGTCGAGGGAAATGCAGGTGAGCAAGTGTAACGATACAGCCGACGATAAAACGGAGGTCGCAAGCGCGCGACCTTTCCTCCTCGAGTCATAACCGCCCATGTGTATTCATAATCGCGACGGGTGCCCCGTACGGTGGCGGCGCGTAGCGACGGCGTCGTGACGCTAACGCCCGCGCGCTATTGATAAATTCTTCCGGCATGGTAAATACGCCGGTACGCTGGAAAAGCGGCTGAAATTACGCGGAAAACGGAGCCGGCCGCGTCTTTCACACAGTCGACCTGAATGCGTGTCGAGTTCGCGAGGGAATGAGGCGGTGCGCGCTGGGAAACGTGGAAACGACGCGAGACGTCGGTTGCCGGCTCGCATTGAACGCACCGTTTCCCGTCCCTCCTTCCCGTCCTCCCCCC